CCACAAATGACCGTATCAAAAATGGCTGCTTGGAAGGATTGTGCATGGACCGCTGGCGTCTTTCCCCAGGCCTCTGTTTCCCTAGCAGACTTTAAGGTGCTTCTTTTTCGCTGTAAGAATCTGTGACCGGGGTCTGGACCGATGACATGAGGGTTAAAAGCACTGGCTGCTCTTCCAGAGGACCAGATCTCAAGACTTCCAGATGCAGGAGGTCCAGTGTTCTCTTCTGGCCTCTGGGACACTGCACACATGTGGCACACAGACGTATATGCAGGCAAAATACCCATACCTATAAAACGATTAAAGAAAAACGCTGCGACCATGAGGATCCCAGCACAGGGCATTCTTCGAGTCCTCCTGGGGAATGATCAGACCTGAGGGTGTCGCCTTTCTGCTCCTGGGACAAACTGCCCAAGGGCAACGACTCATAGGAGAAAGACTGATTTTTGACTCAGTTTCAGAGGATTCAACCCCAAATCCTCAGCCCTGTTGCTGCAGATCTGTGGCAAGGCAGAGCCAAACCATGAAAAACATTGTACAGACAAAGCTGCTCCCATCACTGCAGCCAGGAAGCGGAGAGTAAGGGGGGGGGTGCAAAGGCAAGCCACAAGCCAGTAATGTACTTTCTCCAGTCAGACCCCACCTCCTAACAACCCCATTCAGCCCTGAATGCAGCAAAGGGTTAATCTATCGATAAAATTGCCACCCTAGAGGTCTAATTACCTCTCAGCAGCATCAATAGCTGAGACCCAGACTTCAACTCATGCGACTTTTCAGGGGACACTTCAGATCTAGACCACGGGATCAAAGGACACCTCAGACACCTTCAAACTTGCAACTGGTGCCAGAAATCTGTGTGCCCCTGAGCCTCCCAAACTCTGCTGTCCCTTCGTGTGACAGTCACATTCCTGATATTTGATGGTCCTCGTCCAACAGAGGAGAGTGGCCTCTGGCCCAGAGCCCTGGCGCAGTAACTTGATACTCAGGGAGACGGTACTATAACAGTTTGTATGTCTTCACCGCAGTTACCTTAATGGCTATCTTCTATTTATATCGAACAGCATCGACGCCCCCCAGGGCTGGCTTGTTGGTCCTTCCGTGGAAGCAGCATATTGTACAGGTGGCCATGAGAGCGTGGCAAAGGTTGGAGGAAGGGATGCAACGACTGATGTTTGGGAAATAGCATCCTGAGAGCATCCTAGAATGTCTGCATCCTGGTGTGGTTGCTCAGCCAGGGGCACAACCACGGACAGCTTCGCCTGTTCCGAGGGGCACAGAACAGTCTGTATGCCCCTCCGCCAGAGTCCTGCAATGTTTTCAAACGGGAGCCACAGTTGTTTGCAGCGGTACACGCCTTTAATCCCAGCGCTCTGGAGACAGAGTCATGTGGATCTCTGTGAGCTTGAGGCCAGCCAGTCTACACAGAGAGACCCTGTCTCAAAAATAAAATAAAATAAATTCACCCACAGCTGAGAGTAAACTTCATATCATCGTTGTTATATATGCACTTCTTTTTCAGGTTGTACATGTCTAAATCAGCAAGACATGGTGATACATATATCTACAGTCCCAAAAGCTGGGAAACTGAGGCAGAGGGCGTTGAATGTGAGGCCAGCCTGGGATAAGCAATCAGTCTTAGAATTTAAAAAAAAAAAAAAAAAGACAACAATAGTAAACAGGCCTCTGTTGGCAAAGTGCTCGCCAAGCATGTGGGAGACCCTGGTTCAGCCCCAGCACCATAGGAATCGGAGTGTGGCGGCGCATGTCTGTAATTCCTGCAGGTGGTGGGAACAGGAGGATGGCCACAAGTCTGAGGCCAGCCTGGGCTGCAGAGAGAGACCTTCCTTAAAAAAAAAATATAGAACAGTGACATTTTCATACGATTTACGTGGTGGAAGGGGGAGGGCGAGAGAGAGACAGAACAGACAGGCAGGCAGGCAGGCAGGCTTTTCTTGCTGGCAGGTAGATTTTGCTTGGCTTTTCCTGAGATGGGAGAAAAAGGTCTGTTTACACTAGATGGGTCACTTCCTGGGTCTTCCAATGGGAGAAAACGGCTCCCGGCAGCTGTTCTCGCTCCTATTAGGTGGTGGGGGCGAGAAGCCTGGGTGTTCAAGTCCCTTATAGGAATGCTGTAGACTCTACACACAGCCCCTCTGTCCACCCTCAAGCGGCTCTAGGTCACTCAGGAGGGCCCAGGGCAGTGCAGGAATCATGGAGACAGTTCCTGAAGGCCAGGCCGTGGTGCTGCATTCCTTTGTATGCTCTGGTACATATAGTTTCATCAGTGTATGACACATATGTATATATCACGTTTATATACATAAAATGAACTCACACATACACACACACACGTGGTACGCACGCTGCATGCAATTCAGAAAACATAAAATCATAAAAGCTTCTTACCTATTTGTTTATGGGTGTATACACAAGGCGGTTGGATGTTCTGATCTATCACCCGCTAGTTCGTCTCTTGAGATTTTATTTTTACCAATTTTATTTCATTTTTTTTAAATTGCGTGTCTTCTATGTAGGTCCATGCCCGTGAGTGCAGGTGCCCATGGAGGCCAGAGGTACCAGATTCCTCTGCCACTCGATTTAGAGATAGAGCCAACCAACATGGGCGCTGGTGCTAGGCCCAGCACGAGCCTAATTTTCAGAAGCGATGAAGAGAACTCAGGAGACCAGATCTCATCGTTGCAAAATCGCAAGAGGTTTATTTTAACCATTGCACAATGGGGTCACCCCTGCTGGTCAGCAAAGAGTTGCACCGGGAGACCAAGGCCTTGGGTTTTAAAAGACAAAGCACGGGAAATTGAAGTTGCAGTCTTGGCAATTTAGGATTGGATGAGGAAGCTATAAAGTAAGATAATTGGTTAGTCTTAGGTGCTCAAGCTTGGCCAGTCCTGCCAAGTGTGGATGCAGCTGCAATTGAAGGTGGGGGTGGTTAGCTCATCCTTGAAGATCAGGGCTGTAGGCTTTTGGCTGGAGGTCAGGAGCTACTCAGAAGAAGGATTGAGGCCATCTGGGTTGGTTGCTAAGAAACTATCTCGAAGACAAGGGTCTGGTCGTTCTTTTTGCTGAGTGATGGTCATTGCTTGTTGGCTTTTTTTATATCTGTCCTCACAGATAGGGTCACATTCCTCCGTTCTCTGGAAAGGTACTAAGAAGCTTTAGCTTAACCGGGACCTAAAACTCAAAACTATAGGCTTTAGAAGACATATAGGTTGCAAAGTTAGTCTGATCCTTTCACTGGGAATGGGACTGGAGTTCTCTCAAGAGCAGTACATACTCTTAACTGCTGGACCAGCTCTCCAGCCCCTTTCTTTTTATTTTCATGTATGTGTCAGTGTGTGTCTGCGTGTGCTTGTGCACTTGGGTGAAGTGCCTTCAGAGGCCAGAAGAGGGCACCAGATTCTTCAGGATCTGGAGTTAACAAAAGGTTGTGAGCCACCAGGATATTGGTACCAGTGCTGGAAACCAGTACATACTCCTAACAGCTGAGCTGTCTTCCCAGCCCCTCCACCTGCTTTTAGGGACCGAATCTCTCACTGAACCTGATCGATTTTTCCCGTAGACTAGTTTGCCATTGCACCCCTGCCCTAATGCTGGGCCTGCAGTTTTGAGCTACCACACCTGGCTTTTTTGTTTGTTTTTCAAGATGGGGCTTCTGTTTAGCCCTGGTTGTCCTGGATCTCTCTCTCTCTCTCTCTCTCTCTGAACCAAGCTGGCCTCGAACTTACAGAGATCCACCTGCCTCTGCCTCTCAAGCACTGGAATTAAAGCCATGCAGCGCAGCCTTTACACAGAGGCTTACACACAGCTTCCTATGTGAGTGCTGGGGATCCAATCACTGGTCCTCCTGTGGGCACACGCCCCCCCCTGCTGGGCCATCTCTCCAGTCCAGTTTATTTACTGTATAAAACACTGACATTTCCTTTCTTTACACTTTTAGTTTTGATTTCTTTTTTACTTGTTTTTTTGAGATAGCGTCTCACTGTGTAGCTCTAGCTGGCCTACCTAGACTCTGCTATAAAGCCCAGAATGAACTCACAGAGATCCTCCTGCCTCTTCACCCTCCTTCCCCTAGATCTGGGATCGCAGATGTGCACACCACACCCTGCCTGGTTAGCTATTTTTTAAGACATGGATTCCTGCAGCCCAGGCTAGACTTGAACCTAAGATACGCAGCCAAGGGCATCAAGCTTCTGATCCTCCTGCCTCTGCCTTCCAAGATTCCAGGTGTGCTGCACCATGCTTGATTTTATGAGGTGCTTCAGTTCAAACCGAAACTTCTGTGTAGACTAGGCAGGCCTGCAGCTCAGTTGCAAACGGTTTTCTCTTCTTTCTTATGACTTCTTTTCCTCTTCTTTTCACATGGCTCGTGGCCTGCTGAAATGATGTCATAACCCCTAGTTCCCCTAGCCTCAAGTTCCTGCAGTAGCATTACGCAAAACCCCGGCCTGGGATCTGCTCTCTTGACTGTGCGGTGACCTTCCCACAACACCCCCTGCGCCTGGAAGGACCAGCCTGGCTGGACTGGGCTGAGCTCGCCCCATAAGGTCCAAGGCTCCCCAGGAAAGGTCTGCCAGAGCCTGCCCTTCCCCCGCTCGGCTCCCCCCCCCCCACAGTCGGCACCCCAGAGCCCCACAGTCTCTCTGGTGGACATGCCCTAAGACAAGAGCTTGGGGGTACAGGCTCTATATTCACACCTATAAGATAAGGGGGTGACTGTGTGCAGGGGCCCCCACGTCATGCTCACTCCCATGGAACGCTGGTCCTAAGCCGGCTCTGACAGCGGGCTGGATCAGTGCCCCATCTCTCTCCCCACAGGGCCTAACCACATCGTCCCTCCACGCGCACAGCAGGCCTCCCCTTCTCACCCACTTTATTTTTGTCCTTGGCCGGGAGTGTGTGACACCCTTACCTACTCCCTAGGGCTCCAAGCCCAGCCCTCCCCAACCCCACTCCTGTGTCACAGATTCACAGAAGACAGAAGCCGTGGAAGAGAGACCGTGTCGATTTATCCCAACAGCACAGAGGGGCACAGCAGTGCCTGAAGAGCCAGGCACCCTCAGGGCGGGGAGACCATCAGCCTAGACCCGGCTCCCGCCAGGGGCCTCTTCCTTCAAGGATCTTTATGGCTTGATCACTCTGTAGGCTCTTGGAGTAGAAGAAGGAGGCCAGGGCTGGTGAGCTGGTGTGGTAGGAGGCTCCAGCTGGGGTGCCCATCGCTGGGATGCCCATCGGGGCATCATCCCACTCACCTGTGGCGATTCAGACACATCCGAGAAAACTGGCGACACTTCCCACCTGGAAGAAAAGGAAACAGAACTGATTACCATGTGTACACTGGGGTCCCGCTGGGGGAGGGTCAGTGTTGGCCCTTAGGAAGCTCCCCGTCCATTTGTCCATTTGATAAACACGTGAAGAGGGCCAGCAGGACGGCAAGAAGATGTTTGCTGCTGAGCCAGGTACCCTGATCTATTCCTGGATCCTACGTGGTAGGAAGGCAGAGCCAGGGGCCGAGGAAACCGCTCAGTGGTTAAGAGCACGGGCTGCTCTTCCGGAGGACCAGGGTTCAATTCCCAGCCCCCACCTGGAGGCTCACCACCCTTTATAACTGCAGTCCCATGGGATCTGATGCCCTCTTCTGGTGTGCAGACATACGTGCTGACGGAACACCAATATATGTAAAAATCTATCAATCGATCTTCGTGTTTTTGTTAAAAGGAGAGAACCAATTCGTGAAAGTTGTCTTCTGATCTCTTCATGTACACACACACACACACACACACTGAAATAAATAAATACAGAGGCAGGTGTTGGGCAGAGCAGCTTGTGCAAAGGCTCGGCTGTAAAAGGTCAGAAATGAGCTCAAAGAACATGAATGAGTGAGAGGTTGAGACCTGGACCCGAGTCAACTGGGGGAGAGAGTCTCAGCAGCTACAGAGATGTTAGAACATGGCAGCCCTTCCGCCTCCCTAGCCTGGCCTTACCTCGAGGTCCAGCTCTTTTCTGTCCCCTGGACCTCTTCGAACCCTGCTCCCTCAGCCCAAGTGATTTTTAGTCGTCTGGACCTTACAACATCCCGATTTCACCCCTGACAAGGACCCTCCTCCGGCTCTGCCACGCTCTGAAGCCCCCAGGGCGAGCCAGCCTCTGTCACAGTCTTGCACCCGGTCTCATGTGGTTTGGGAGTGTCCCTCCAAAGCCTGTGTTAGAAGCTGGGTCCTCAGTGCTCGTGTTGGGGCCTGAGAAGGTGGGATGGGAACCTTTTTGAGGCAGGGTCTGGAGGCACTGAGGTTACAGCTCTGCCCTCCCTCTCAGTCAGTTAACCTTTGGGAGGGTGAGCTGTCCTAGAAAGATCACCCAGGCTCCCTCCTGCTCTCTCACTTCCTGTCTTGTCGCGTGACCTCTTCTGCCACACACCCTCCCTCTCCTTGGCCAGGAAGACATGGACTCTCTTCCTGTGTCAGCCTCTGCTGTATTTTCTTTGATTCCCAGTGCCGCATTAACTGCGTGCGCCTATAATCTTAGCACTTGGGAGGTGTGGAGGCAGGAGGTTCGGAGTTCAAGGTTGAAGTGGAAGGGGTGGCCCAGTGGTTAGCCACGTCCTCGTTTTGGGCCTCCCCACTTGAACAAGCACAGCGGTGACGCGGTGAGCTCCCTGGGGACAGCCCCCCGCTGACTTGGCCCACCGAGTCACGGCTGGGGTGGTCTGTTAGGGGTGCTGAGTTTGCACAGCCTTGCCCACGGGCTTTCGAGACCCCTGACCTGCGGTCACTGCGCAGCCCAGACGCCCCACCCCCTCCTTCCCGGCGCCCCTCCCGCCCAAGCCCCACTCTCACTGGTGAGGATAATAATGCCAGTGATGAACAGCACGGCTGCCACCAGGAGCCCCCGTTTTCGCAGAGTGCCCTCATCTGTGGAGAGAGAGAGGGAGGTGTCTGGTGAGGGGGCCTGTCTTTCTTCCCCACTCATGTGCATCTGTGGGGGGGATGGATAACTTACCATAGCAGACCACACAGATCTCCATCAGGGTACAGGTGTGGGGGCGGGGGGTGGAGGGTCACTTACCGTATTTGAAGGGGTCATTCTTATTTGATTCTGGAGGGGACAGATAAAGGTGAGTCAGAGCTGGGCGGGAGTCTGTGGTGTGGATGAGCGAAGTGCAGAGCTGGGGCATGGCGACACCCAAGACTCAGCCTCTAAGGCCTTAGAATGAAGATGGAAGCCCTCGCTGTGACCGGCCACGTCACGTGGCCTCTACCTTCTCCACTCCTGGCACCTGTGGGCCTCCCTGTTCCTCAGTCCAACCTGAGGCTCACTCATCTCGGGACCTTTGCCCTCCCCTCTCCTGGAGGAAGCAGACCTGCAGATACCCACAGCTGCTCCTGGCCTTCACCTGAAAACCTTCCTTGATTCCTTGGATAACTTAGCATAGCAGACCTCATAGACCTCCCGAGGCGGTGGGGGGTGGGGGGGTGGAGGGTCACTTACCGTATTTGAAGGGGTTGTTCTTATTCGATTCTGGAGAGGACAGATAAAGGTGAGTCAGAGCTGGGCGGGGGTCTGTGGTGTGGATGAGCGAGGTGCAGAGCTGGGGCGTGGTGACACCCAAGACTCAGCCTCCTAAGGCCTCAGAACGAAGATGGAAGCCCTCACCGTGACCCACCACCGTCTCTGCTCTGCCTGTGTCATTCCTGGCACCCCGTTCCTCAGTCCAACCTGATGCTCATCTCGGGACCTTTGCCCTTCCCTCTCCCGGAGGAGCAGACTTTTGCAGATACCCACAGCTGCTCCTGGCTCTTCATTCAACCTGAACGCCTTCCTTGATTCCAAGACACCCCGACTATTCTCGAATCCCTAATTATTTCGCTCTATTTTTCACAATAATAAATTTTTAAAATAATCATCAGATATGTAAGTATTCCGGTCATTGTCTGCTGTCTTCCCCCACTAAAGCGTCAGGTTCAGAGGGTCTCACTGTGCAGCCTGGGTTGCCATGGGACTCGCTATGTCGTCCAGGCTGCAGCCATGGACGTGAAGCCATCTTCCTTCTCTGTTTCCCAGGCGCAAAGATTACAGGGATACGCCACCCCGCCCTACAACAGGAGAGCTGTCTGTCCATCCTGTTCATGGCTGCCAGGCACGCACATGAATTCGTGCTGAGTGCACAGGGGGAGGGGGAGTGGGTGACCGGGGGTGAGGCTTCTCTATCTTCAGTTGGGGGCCCCTGCTGGTCCACAATTGATCTTAGGTGTGTGAGCCAATCTGTGGTGGCCAGAGCAGCCGCTCAGCTCAGCTCGGCCCTGATTTCCGTTTGCGGAACTCAGAGCTCAGAAAGCATCAACCTAAGCACACAGCACGGTGACCCTGATTGTTCCGTTGGCCTTTAGACACACGCTACCACCTGTCCGGCCAGACATCACAGCGTTCCTACCCTCCGCCAGCCACCTCCGTGGCGGGAGCCCTGCAGACTGTACCACGCTGAGCACGAGCTACCGCCAGGAAAAGGAGGTACTAACCTGGCAGGTCCTTCCGGTGGAACGGAGTCCTGATCCGGGGGAGTGTGGTGGTACCTTCAGGTGATAGGCAGAAAAAGTGATCAGGAGACAGTGGGCGGCAGGAGGGGACACGGGGGCAGACCCAGGGATGCGAGCCCCATCTGGGGTGCGGCGCACACGGAGGACCAGCTGCTCATGCCGGGCCAGCCCCTCTTCTGGGACACCACTCAGAACCCAGGAGCGGAAGCCGGGATTTCACGGACCTGGCCCCCTCCAGCCTGGAGATACTTATTCAAAATATTGTGACCAAAAGGAGCAGGGCACCATCTTTCTGGAGGCAGGGTCTGCCGCGTCACCCACACCCCTTCGTGTCCTCACGCTTCCTGAGCTCTGACATCACGTCACGTAAGGCCTAGGGGTCTGCTGCCTTGGCCTCAGCTCAGCCCCTTTCCTCACACCTGCGGCCACCATCAACCTTCCCGTCTCCAGGAAACTACTTCCTTCCTGATTCTGGACTCTGTGGACTTTCCCAGGCTCAAGGTGGGGAAACAAGGCTCCAGTGACCAATGGGAGCAGCTTGATTTCAGGTTTCCATTGGCTCAGACAAAGACATACGATCTCTACCACGCAATTCCAGGCCCTGGGGCAGGGCTTATGGGAAAGAGCTGTGTGTCTCCTAGCTGCTCAATTATGGGGCATCTTTGCTACCAAGAAGAAAAGCGAATGAAGACAACAGGGGCACGAGGGAGCAATTCAGCCATACGAAGCTTAAGTTCCTTGATCCGGCTATGCCTGATACCCTATGTTCAGAGTTTACAGAATTAAGCCAATATGTCAAAAAAAAAAAAAAAAAAAAAAGGTTTATTTTGCAACTAAAAAACTCCTGCTGTAACAGAAAAAAAAAAAAAAAAAAAAGACAGAGAGGAAACCCACAAGTGTTCTTCTCTGAACCAGCCCAGTGAAGGGGAAAGGACGGCCAGTCAGTGCTTGTCTATTGCAGGTGTGGGGGGGGGTGTCATGCTGGAATGTTCCAGCACAGAAGTCTGCTGTGGAGTAGCTTCATCGGGGATCCGAGAAGGTCGTCCTTAAAGAACTTTAACTCTGGACTCCTCCACATCTCTCCGCACACACAGACACACTCGCGCACAAGCACCCGCTGAGAGTTTATCAACCGTTCCCCAGGAAGGTGCTTTGAGGAAAGCCCTTGGGGGGATGCCGACCCAGAACGGAGAAAACGAGATTAAAAAAAACCAGCGGCTGCCGCCGCCAGCTGGGGCCCTACCTTCCTGGCTGCTCCTATGTGTCTTTGGATCTGTCACTGGATTAGCAGCGTGCACTCCTGTCGGTTGCTGGCTCTCAGTTGTGGCTGCTGTCTGGCTTCCTGTGGCATCTGCTCAGGTCAGAAGAAAAGGGGGAGAGGGTGGGATGTGAGGGGAAGAGATGTGCTCTGCCCGGAACTGCCAGGCTCCCTCCACGTGGTGGTACTCCAGGCAGGAGCACAAGCTGTCACTTTGTTTCCGTGAAGCTGGGGACTCTTTTCAAACACTGCAGGACAATGAAATGGGTGCCCACTACCAGGACAACTTTTCTTTAAAAACAAAACAAGGTCTCGCCATGTAGCCCTGACTGACCTTAAGCTTTTCATCCTCTTGCCACAGCTTCCTGTGTGCTGGCATAACACATTTATTTCAGGGGGGAAACTAGGGATTGAACTCAGAACCTTGTACATGATAGGCATGGTACCACTGAGCCTCCAGCTCCTCACTGGGGTATCCTAGGCAGGGGCTCTATCACTGAGCCACACCCTAGCCCCTCACTGGGGGATTCTAGGCAGGTGCCCTACCACTGAGCCACACCCCAGCCCCTCACTGGGGTATCCTAGGCAGGGGCTCTACCACTGAGCCACACCCCAGCCCCTCACTGGGGGATTCTAGGCAGGTGCTCTACTACTGAGCCACACCTCCAACATCAGTAATTCTTAACCAAAAAAATTATTCGGAACACTTAAATTATGTTGTACTGCAAGAAAAAGTATAACTATTACTTGGAAAAAAACTTTTAAAGAGACATAGAGCTGAACAGAAGCAATGACAGAACAGGCACTGGGAGTGTCAATAAAGATCTAATGTTCAACTTTTGGAAAAGGGTCAATTAAAAAAAATGCTTTGTAAGCCAGTGGAATTGGATGCCAGATAGACACAAGCGGCACGTGCTGGTAATGTCAGCCCTCCAGAGGCTGAGGCAGGAGGACTGCCCCGAGTTCAAAGCCACTCTGGGCTACAAAGCAGTAGTGTCTGGTCAAGATAAATAGGTAACTGAGTGGGGCTGGCAAGGGTCCAGAGCAGTGGTGGGCTGAAATGAGTAAGGAAACATTGGAGGTCAAAGGAAAGGTTGCATCGATGGGCCCTGCCCTGCCCCTGCCCCATCCCACTCACCATCAGCGCCCCTGCTAGGGATGGAAGGCGTGGGCCAGACTTCTGGGCTGCTTTCAGGAACTGGAGTAAAAACAGGGTCTGAGAGAGAAGATGTGAGAGGCAGAGGCAGAGAATTTCCACAGGTGAAGACTGGAGAGTTTCCATAGCAACTCTTTTTTTTTTTTTTTTTTTTCCTTTAAATGCCTGTATGTGTGCAAGGCAGGCAGAGGCCATCTCCACTGACTTTCCTTTCCACCTTCCGTTCTTTGAGACCGGCTCTCTCCTTGGCTTGGGGCTCCCTGAGTAAGTTAGGCCGGCAAGCCCTGGGGTCCCACCTGCCTCTGCCTCCCCGCCTTGGGGTTTACAATCACGTGCCCTTATGGCTGGCCTTCTGGGATAGTTCTGGGATTGAACTGGGGTCCTCAGACTTGTGAGCAAGCCCTCTGCTGACTGCCTTCAAGTCCATTTTGAGGTGATGAGAGAGGGAATTCAGGCCCCTTGATAAGCATTCAAATGGGATGCATTGGTCTCCCCTGCTTCCAGACCCACTAGTGAGACTCAGAAGCTCTGAAAACTGTGTTTGACTCAGTTTCCCAGACATCTCTGGCCACAAACCACTATCACCTGCTCAAATAATAGCCCCTGGGTGGGGCACTGGGTAGGTGGATCTTGGTTGGAGAAACCTCCTCCTCTGACATCAAATGGATGTCAGATGGTAGATAACAACTGACGTGCCCACAATGTAAAACCGATTGTCCTCAGCAAGAAGCTGACTGTGGTGAACCTGACACAGAAGAGGCAGAAGCAAGAGCTGGTGTCAGGTTCCTGATCGCAGCGTTTAAGTACCTAGATCAAGCCATGCCTGAAACCCCGAGGTTTTGTTTTTTGTTTTGTTTTTCCAGTTACACAAATGTAAGTTTCCCTGCTTGGTCCAAGTGTCGTGTTGTTACCCGAAGTGAGAATTTTACAGCGCTGCCTCCATTCTCTTACCTGGGGCATGAGGGTTCACGGGAGTTTGGTCCACTGCAAAGCCAGGTGTGGGCTTTTCTGGTGTCTGCCCTGGGGAATCAAGGCTGAGTGGTCAGGAAGGAGCCTTGCATCCTTTCCCTACGACTTCTGTCCCACCGGCCCAACCCTCAGAAGTCCCAGGGGAACCAGCTTTGGCTGGGCCACACCGTGGTCCTCAGAGTGACGTAAGCCTAGTACTACTCCAGGACCTTTGCACAGCCATGCAGGATAGTCTCATCGAGAGTCCAGGAGCTAGGGGTCAGGCAGGGCCGCAGAGCACATTCTGCTTCCAACCACTTCCTCTGTGTGGCCTGAGCCTCGGAAGCTCCCTCCCTGTCTCCTTTGCCTCACCTGAAAACAGGCCGATAAAAACTGAGCCTGGCTCCCTGCCCAGTACACCGCTAGGGAGGGAAGGGGTTTGCTCCTCATTGCTTCACGGCTATAAACCCCGCCTTCTCCCAGCCACTGCAGCCAGAAGGGACCTGTGAACACCCAAGTCAGGTCGGGCCCTTCAGGCTCGGTGGGCGGCTGCACCTCACTCTAGGGAAAGCCAAAACTTCCACCTGGTCTCCAGTCCCTGTCACCCGTCCCCGCCCCCCCCCCCCCCCCCCCCCCCCGGTTTCAGTCCCACCTCTTCCCATTGATTTCACCCCACCCCAGCCTTCCCCTGTCTCAGGCTCACTGAACTCCGCGCCATCTCTGCCGGCTGCTCCCTCCTCTTCCTGTGTCCCCCATCCATACAATGGGCATGGTACCACATAGGACGGAACTAACGGAAGTGTAAGCACAGCACACACTAGGGAGTCTCCCCCACCCCGGGCTGTCCCCTCGGAGAAGTGCTCTCCAGGCAAGGGTGAGGGTCTCCTACTCTGGAGACTACCCCGAGCTGGACCCCCTCGCCTGACTGTATTCTCAGAAAACCCAACACTTCTGCTTTGCCTGGAGCCTGGGGTTTCCTGGCTGCCGAGGAGAAAACCGACACCCGTCTCCCAGCCAAGCCAAACTCAGTTATAAGTTCTTCTCGGAGGTGAAAGGGAGGATGCTCAGCAGGACAGGCTCCAGCCAGACCCTCTGGAAAGAGCCAAAGAGGGCGCAACCCGGTGCCGGCCTCACCGTCCCCACTTCCTGGTGCCAGCTCACTGGGGGAAGGGGGCTGCGAAGATGGTTCAGAGCTTTCGGGCTTCCCTGTCACCCACCTAGCCGCCCACTGGGCCCGGAGCTGAGGGCTGGGGATGGTGGTGGCTTACCTCTGCTGGGCAGAACCAGGGCGACAATGGCGAGGAGACACAGACGACTGGACGGTGACATCTGCAGGGCAGGTGGAGACAAAGGTAAGTGAGGCGGCCACCCCCACCCCGCAGCCTCCTCAGAGCAGGCCCCGGGCCTCAAGGACCCTCCGGATTTGTGCCTCTGGGGAGGACGCTTTTATAGAGTCCCCAACCACCATCCCCTCCCTCCACGAGCTAAGGGGCGGCAGGTGGGCCTGGCCTCCTGACACCGCCTGAGGCCAAGAAGCCGCTCCCTGCTCCCGCCGCCGGAGCTGACCCTCCGAACCCCGCCGTTCCCGGGCGGAGGAAGCCGGGGGCTCCCGCGGCGGCGCCTGCTCCCTCGAGGCCCGGAGCCCAGAGCCGCGGGGCCAGGAGGGGAACAGGAAGGGTGACTAATGCGAGGCTGCGCAGAGGAAAAAGTGAGCTGGTGTCCGGCTGCGCTGCAGGCACCACCGCACCCAGCTGGGGAGCCCTCCCAGGGACCGGTCCGCCCCGGGCTGGGGGCGCTCTGGGGAGACTGAGGCAGGAGGGGGCGCCCACAGGGGAACCAGAGTGAGTGAACCAGAGGCATCGCCATCTCCCCTCCCAAGCCGCTCCCCGCCTGCATGCGTGACCCCGGGTAGAGCAAAGGAGCCACTTACGTCCGAGCCCAGGGTCTCTCGCCTGGAGTGTGAAAGCACCGCGTGGGAGCCGGGGCGGAGGGTGTGGCCAGGGGCGCAGGCGCCGGCGGGCAGGCGGGGACCAGAGCGGCTCAGTCATTTCCTCTGCCGGTTCCAGGCCCCACAGGCAGGGCTGGGAGCTGGAGGGGTGGGGAGCGATGGCCCGGCCCCTTGAGGGTCTGAGGGGCGCAGATGGGGACAAGGGCGCAGAAGAGGGGAGACCCCTCGGGGAGGTGTGCAAGGAAGGATGTGGCGAGAGGAGGAGGCCCTGGGGGCGAAGGAGGAGGAGGGATCAGAACAGCCACCTCAGCCTTCCAGCCCGTCTTCAGGTGCCCACAGACAACAACACACAAGACAGAACGGGAGGAAAAAACCGAATGCACATTTATTAAGCTCAAGACGTGGACCCTGAGGGGACAGCCGGGAAGGTCCTGGAGGAGACCAGGATATGCAGGAGGGAGGGACACGAGGATCCCGGGGGTACTGGGACGAACTCCTGGATTCCAGGAGCTGGAGGCCTGAGTCTCTGGATCTGGGGTACAAACGGGCTCTTTGGGGGATCGCCATTGCCAAGGCCTGAGGAGGGACAGCGGGGTGCAGTGGCTCCGGCCTTGGGGTGGGTGTGGCGGCTCATTGGGGGCGCGCTCCCTGGCGCCAGGCTGGGTCCCCACCGCCTTCACCGGGTCCTTGGGCTCCTGTGCTCAGGCCTGGGACAGCAGAGGGCCCTACACGCCGCCACCTCCAGGGGCTGGGAACAGAAGAGAACCCATGATAGTGATCCAATGGAGTCCAAGGATGGTCGCCCTCTGGCTCGCCCTCATTTCTTCCCCACCCCTAAAATCTCATCACCATGGGACATCTTCATTGCTGCTGTCCGCTCCATCTCGAGCCTGGGTGTTCCTGGGGGCTTAGAGTCTCATGCTGCACCCCAAGCTCCTTTTCTACAAGCTGGGCAGCTAGCACTCACTCACCTTCCACTCCCCTTCCGGAACAGGCTACCTTTGTTCTCCTGCCCCAGCTAAGGCTAGGTCAAACATCAGCACCACCAAGAGACACCCGGATGATCTTAACTCTCATTAAGAAGATACGAAACATGGTATCATTTCTCGCTCAGCCTCGCCATCTAAGCACCACCCCTTTGTCCTAAGATGCTTTCTTCCCCTCAAGACAGGCTTTCTCTGGGTAGCCTTGTCTGTCCTGGACCTCACTCTGTAGACCAGGATGGCCCCTTGAACTCAGAGATCCACCAGCCTCTGTCTCCTGCTGGGATGAAAGATGTGCACCCCACTGCCCGGCTGGCTAAGATTTTAGTGGGAAGCCAGCCTGGTGGCTCACACCTGGAAGCTCAGTACTTGGGAGGATGGGGGGGGGGGGGATGGCTGTGAGTGTGAGATTGACAGCCAGGACTAGAGTGAGACACTACGAGAGGAAGAGAGTCCTGTGGTGGAGAGTTTTTTTTTTCCTCTCTCTCCCTCCCACAAAGTCTTTAGAAAGGTGGCAATTCTGAAAAACAAACAAAAACCACCCCAAAGTCTCTCAAGCCCACCCTTCACACCCCTCATCCTTCCCACCTCCCCGGGCCCCCATCACCGTCCATCTTTATCATCTTCCTGTCCCCACATGCTCACCCTCCTTGCTCTCCTCTATGTTCTTCTACACCAGCTTCCTCCTCCCCCCCCACTTCCTTCCAGCTGAAATCTTTCTTCTTTTTCTTGCCTTGGAGACACAGGCTGCTCTCAGACTTTCCCTGTAGCTGGGAATGACCTCAGACTCCTGATTCCCTGAGTTTTTGAGATTATGGACAGGCACTGTGCCCAGTTCAGGCATCCATGGGGCCTGGAGCCTGGAGGCAAGCATTCCTGGCGGCAGCCCCTCTCTTTTGAGACAGGGTCAGACTCCGCAGACCTGATTGGCCTGGAATTCACAGAGACCCACCCTTCCTTGCTCCTCGCCCCACTCCAGCTCTCCAGTGGTGGGATTAAAGGCATGTACCACCACTCTATTCACTCAGCAGCCCACCCTGTCTCCCCTCCCTCGCCTTTCCCTCCCCTGCCCCTCCTTTTTGCTGTGGGCCCCCGGAAGGCAGAGGGAAGCCTGTGTGGGTTTCCCAGGTGCTAGACTCTCCCATCCCCTCAGACTTCCCCAGCCACACCCCACCAAGCTTTCTGAGGCTCGCCTTTCTTCGGGACCTCCTTGAGATATGGCTAAAATCCTCCCCCTGTAGCTTCAGCCTCTGAGGGATGGAGAATCGGCTGTAGCCTGGTGGGGGCCTGGGGCTCCAGGGCCCCCCAGATAAACCACTAAGGTATTCCTCCAGAACCATGCTCACCTGAGGAAGGAAGTTCCGACTTACAGGATTTGCATGTTGGGCTGTTGGAGGGAGAGAGGAGAAAGCTTAGCAGGGCTCAGGGCAGGCTCCCTGGGCCCTGTCCATCCCAGTTCCCCAGGCTGTCCCACCTCTCAGACCTGGAGTCTGCCTTCCTGCACTTCACCTTCTTGCCTGTTGGGAGAGAGACAGCAGGGAGCGATGCTAGCGGGGCAGCGGGACAGGGCAGGGCGGGAAGGGGACCTTCACAGGTAAGGAGGGGGTGAGCCGGCAGGAGACCCTCAAAGATCAGGACCTTTGCAAGTGGGGACGGGGTGGGGTGGGCAGGACCCTCTAAGGTGGGGACCCCACAAATGAGAAGGGCACTTACTGAGGATGATGAGGATCCCCAGCACGAACATGATAGTGGCCAGGGTCATCCCCACAGTCTGCACCGTGGCATAGTCTAAGGGAGACAGGGGGACCTCAGGGCAGGGCAGCCTCATCCCAGCCTGATGAGGCTCAGGCCAGGGGTCCAACAAGGACAGGGAAGCTGCTCCCTGAGCCCCTGACTCCATCGGGGACTGGGGAAGAATCCAAACCCTACTGGGGCCCAGTGTGGGACCACTGTGCCTCTACCCTCCCGCCTCCTTTCCAGTGCTGGCCTTCTGGATTCTTGGACTAGGCGCTAGGCTCCAGACCCTCGTCTTGGTCCTGTCCTCCATGATCAAGGCCTGGACTGTCCCAGCAGACCTTTCTATGGTCCTGCTGCCCTGCCCCCATCGCCCTCCCGCAGCCACAAGAACCCTACTACTCCCAGAAAGACCAGGGCCTCTCTCCTGCCCCTCGATTGTGTCACAAGCAAAAACCAAGGCAAATCAGGATTCAACATCAGAGTCACCTCATGACCTTCCCCAAGTTGTGTCTGTGATTATTTCCATGCAAAAGCCCATAGACCTGGTCATATTCCATGGAGACGTCGAGTGGTATTTGTTACTGAGGCAGGCGGCAGCCTAGTCTGACTAATACAGTCCATGTAACACAGACACAGTGGATGAGAATCCCTCAGTGGAGGGCCTAGTCCTGATCCTACTCAGGTTCACACACCGCTCCCTTCCCATCAGCCTTCTGCTCAAGCCATATAAGCCTCCCTATTCCTAGAGCATGCTACCCGCCCACAGCCTCAGAACCTTTGCACCAGCCACTTTCTCTCTCCGAAGGCTCCTCCGTGTTCTTGACTTCCTCACCAGCCCCTGGTGAGGTTTAACTGAGCTGTCCCATTTAAAAATCCCGTGGTCCCAGCTCTCTCTCACCCCGTTCCCTCTTTCTGCTTCCTTCCTAAGAATTTCTGGCTTTGAGAATGGGTCTCACTGCATAGTGCAAACTGGCCTCAAACTCACAATCCCTCTGTCTCAGCCTCCTAAACGCGAGGAAGATTTGTTCTTGTCTCCGATACCAAAAAAGTCTGGCGAAACCTCCCCCAGTGTCTCCAGAAGCCTGGCGCAGGGCCTGGTGCCCAGCACACCGAGGTTCCCCGTGTAGTTGCAGGGATTGGAGAACCTGCTGTGTACTCGGTGTGTCGGCCCTTCAGCAGCCGGCTCCAGTGCCGGGACGGAGCATAGCATTCATCAACAAGCAAAAATTGCTAACGAGGCCAAAAACCACACACACAAATCCCCAAGTCATGGCCGGTGTGGTGTGGCGTGGCTGCTCCTGACGGGGGCTCAGAGCAGCCTGAGTGAGCAGTCAATATCTGAACCAAGGCCAGAAAGGAGAGGAGCCTCAGCTCCTTGTGTGGAGGGAGAGCTTGGGGGTGGGGCGGTCATGCTCCTGGCAGAAAGAACAGTAAGTCCAAAGGCCCTGAGGTAGTGAGGTAGGCCTCACTACCTCTTGGCCCAGGAGGGACTGCACACGTGAGCCAAGGTGAGGGGGATCGGGGGACAGGAAGAGGGAATTCAGGCCAGATCTCAGATCTGCCAGACCCAGGGCTTCAGTGCCTTGGGGGTGACAGAAAGACATCATAACTGTAACTTTTCCCATAGTCCTCACTGGTGGGAGCCATTACCACAGCTTATTTACAGGAGGGTCCAGAGAGGAGACGTTGCCTGCCCTAGGCCCACACAGCTAGGGAGTGGGCAAATCAAAGTTGGAACCCCGGAGTCATTCTGAGACCCTTCCGGAGTTGCTCCTCTGATTATTATCAGTGCATGAGCTCAGAGACCTGGTCGTAATCCACGGGGAGGCTGAGTGCTGTTTGTTACTGAGGCGGGCGGCAGCCTAGTCTGACTGGCACAGTCCAGCTAACCCTGATATAATGCATGTGTTTGCCCTCCCCAGGTCTCGTCCTTGTCTCCAAAGCGGAAGCCTTAGGTCGATGCTTGCTAACCCCAGTTATTCTCACCCTTCCTTGCTCCTCGCCCCACTCCAGCTCTCCAGTGGTGGGATTAAAGGCATGTGCCACCACTCTATTCACTCAGCAGCCCACCCTGTCTCCCCTCCCTCGCCTTTCCCTCCCCTGCTCCTCCTTTTTGCTGTGGGCCCCCGGAAGGCAGTGGGCGGTGGGGACCCAAGGTGGGGGCAGGCTTTCCAAGCCTTCATCAAGGGTACAGGAACAAGGCCTCCCTTCTCCAGTCTGCCTCTGCCCTCCACAGACCCCTCCTCCGTGAGCTGTAGCCACAGCCATGGCTACAGGCCCGGCTAAGGGCACCCCTCCATTCTAGCCCCAGGCGAGTCTCCCCAACACAAGACCCAACACTCACCATAGAAAAATGGGTCCGTTTCTTCAGGGACTGCGGAGAGAAAGACAGAGAAGGGAGGGGAGCATGTTTCAGTGCTGGATTTCTGAACATCTTTGAGGACCAGGACGGACGAAGCGCTTCTTTATGGGACTTGGGGTAGGAGGCTGACCTCTCAGGAGAGCATGGAGGGTACTCTCCAGACCCATTTACTCCGTCAGTCAGTACCATGCCCTTGTGTGGTGCACAGCCCACCCAGCCACACACGGCAGTGCTGGTCCTAGACCCCTAAGGAGAGCTGATACGTGCCTTGGGGTCATTCTGTGACACACACACACACACACACACACACACACACACACACACACACAGAGCAGACCTATCAGAGCCCAGTCTCCCTGGAGACCCAGCAGATGGATGCTCTGGCCTCCCATGAGAACTCCCTCAGCCTTCCCAGCCATCCAGGGGCCCCTGAGGTCACAAGCATCCTACAGCTGCTCTTCCATCTGCTTGGGTGGCTGCCGCGGAATCCAGGGTAGACAGTGTATATTCTCTGTCACCTGAGACACCCCCAGTTACGAGAGTTTGGATAATCTTGTGGTAACTCGTGCCAGCGGAAGATACCCACTCTGGCCTGTCACGGTAGCACTGGCCTTTAACCCCAGTACTGGGGAGGCAGAAGAAGGTGGATCTCCATGAGTCTGAGGCCAGCCTGGTCTGCATAACTTTCGGACCAGCCAGGGCTACACGGTGATGTCCTTAAAAACTAAATTAAAAGATGTCCACCCTGTAGCTGTCAGCTTCCTCCTGCAGCGAATTCTGCCCTGTCCACAGCAGAGTTTTGCAGGCGCAAGTTGCAGAACGAGGCCAGGTAATGAGGAGAGGAAGCCGGGCAATGGCCTTGCTGCTTCTCTCCCCCTTTCCGGGGGCAGCTATACCTTTATCTCTGACCAATGAATGTTGAGGATGGCGAGTGCTTTGGCTGTCTTTGGGACGTGGAAGCCTCCTGCCTCCGTCTGCATGTCCCTAAGGCAGCAATATGTGCTAATGTCTTCCCCCACTGAGACTTTTGGTACTATTTGTTACTGACTCTACCTGGAACCTAAGCTGACCGACACAGCTTGGGATGAGGCAAGGCCATAGACAGCTCTGGTTTGTGTGGCGTGGCCTTCCCAGGTCTCTGTCCAGTCTCTAAGGAAATCCTGGTTCAGTGCCGATGTATCTTTAACCTTTGTCAACTGAGTTGTTGTTTCGGGAATGTGATTTAGTTTTTCTTTTTGGGGGGAAGGATCTCACTATGTAGTCCAGGCTGCCCCAAAACTCATATTCCTCCTGTCTCTGCTTCCAGGATGCTGAGATTACTGGCATGCACCTGCTTCTTGTCTTTACTTTAGGGCAAGAGGGGAAAAATACTGATTTCCCATTTGTGGTGGTGATAAAAATAAAGCCCACAAACATTCTTTAAGAAGTTAATCCTCTGGAGGAAAATAATCTTAAATAAATGGCAATAAAAGGAACATTTTAGTAAGGCAAAACCCAGAAACATACAGCTAGGACCCAGAGTCAACTGTGCTGCGTTTTAGCTTTGCCACCAGAGCGTGGGCAATTGCTCTCTGCAGTTCAGTCCTGTTCACAAGAAGTTTTCTGGAATGAGTGAGTGAGTGAATGAATGAATGAAGAGAGGGCCTCCTAGGCTGCAGGTGATTGCACCAAAGAGGAAGGTACTATTTTCCCACACAGCTCTTCTCCAGGTGTTCGCCTGTCCCAGCATCTTCCTTGGCTCCTCCGATGATCCCCGGCAGGTCCCTGACCACAGCCGTCCCACTCTTCAGGGTGTGGCTGGGTTAAGGGTGGAGCCGGGAGGCAGGAAAAGCGATGTACACTATTCTTGGCTAGTTGCCAGGAAGAGATAAGAAAGGAGGTGGTTGCTATGGTAACCAGGGCATCATTAGAGGTGGTGGGGTCCTGGCATTGCAGGCTGGGTGGGGTCCCCTGTGAGGTTTGGGGGTTGGGCCAATCTTGCCTCCCCTCTTTGCCCCTGCAGACTTGGCTTCTGGCCAAGGTGAGTGTCTTCGCTCCCCAAAATATGGACCTAGACCCAAGTATGCCCACATCCCCTGGTTCCCCCTCCTGTTCTCTGGCAAGAACCGCATCTCCCTTCTCGCCTTCAGCGATTCATTAATTCGCTTCCCTAAGCGGTCTGTGAAGCATGCACCCGAGCTCTTCCTCCCCCGGGGTTTCCCAAGTCCTGCGGTCCCCTCTCAGGCTGTGACAGGGAGAAGGGGACTGGCACGGTATCGGCCCTCCCACCTCTACCCATCCGCTGCCATCGATCCTGCTAACCACCACCTCTGCGAAAAAGAAGCCTGGGCTCCTGCCAGACCTGCTGGCTCAGCCCTGCCCCCTCCCTCCGGGGTGGCTCCCAGCCTCTGCAGCCCCTCACCCCCCCTCCCTGCCCGGGATTCTGCAGCGAGGGCTCCACACAGCCCTCACCCCACCCCACCCCACCCCGCCTGCTGGGAAAGAGGAAACGAGAAGGTGCCATGAGAGTGGGATTAGGGTTCCTTCCACCGCCAGGGACTCCACAGCACCCCCCAAGTCCTCTGCCTTGCCGCCAGCCCCATTTGAGCATCGTACCCCTAGCGCATCCATAGATGCAACAGAGGGGGGAATCAGGAAGCCGCCGAGCCAGGGAGCGTTTGAGCTGATGCTCGCAGATCTGGGTTAATGGGTGCGAAGCGTAAACCCAGTGCGGCTCGATGCGGGGAGACGAGAGCGTCTCCGGGTGTCTCCAGGTGCCGGGACGGGGGTCCCCACATTTTGTTCCCACCATGCAGGTTCACCGCAGTGCTGCGGCCCCACCCGTCCCCCCTTCCACACTGGTCTGTGTGCCTCTCTCTCAGCCCCTCTTCCTCCCTCTCCTCCCGCTTCTGCAGCCCTCAAAGCCTGTCACCTGGGGTTTTTGTGCCTCTGGCTCGCCTGTCCCTCTTGGTCTCCATCTCTTTCGGGCTTGCTTTCTTAACCCATCTCTTGTCACCCCCCCCCTTCTCTCCCCTGTCAACCGTCCCTCTGTCCCTGTCAAGGAATTTAGCAAATATCTGCCGTGCTAGGGAGAGATGGCATAACGACCGCCTCGGCTGGCCCGTCCAAGGGTGCTGAAGTCTGCCAGAATATCTCAGGCTGCAGACCCACCAGCTCCCTCAAACCCCTAGCTCTTCCCGTTAGCTTCCACCACTGTGCTGGACCAGGCACCCGGTTGCCATAGCAACCTGTCCGTGCATCCTTTCTCTTGGGACTGCCACTCTCTAATCATAGGTCCCGCACAGGGAGGATATCACCTGGGGAGAGGGTGCCCAAGAAACCCCAAAGGGCTCCAAAGAACGTGCTCCTCAGCCTCCGCCCCGTGACTGGGGCAGACATCGCCCCTTCGGTTTCCTTTTTTGTATGGGATTCTCCCCCACATCCTGTCCCCCCTGGATTCCTCCACCTCCTTCCTAGCACCCATTCCCCAGGAGACGACGCTCACCGTTTGTGGGGCTCTGGGTTGGGGTGGCCATGCTGAGCCCGAGCAGGGGGTTGCTGAGTGCTTGAGGCAGCAGCGAAGGCGCGGCTGCAGCAGCTGGAAGCAGGACAGACTGATGTGGGGGGGGGGAGGCAAGGTGGGGGAGCCCTGGTAGAGTGGGGGCCTGTAGCCAATGGGGGCCCGGAGAGCCCGCCCCAGTCCAGGCCATCCCCCCGCCCCCGCCCCGCCCACTGCTGATGTCCCCGCCCCTTCCCCGAGGGCGGGGGCGCCCCCTGCCGGGGCCAAGGGGGCTCCGGGGTTCCGCACGAGAGGCACTGAGATCAACCAAGAGTTATCAGGAAGGAAAACCGAGTTTTATTGGAGGTCTGAGCCGTAAGGGTGTCCGAGAGGCGGGGCTGGGGCGGGGGACGCTGGAGGTGGCCACGGGCTAGCGGCTGGGGGGGAGACGTGTCAGGTGTCGAGGGGGCCCTGCAGGGTGAGGAGAGCGAGTGGCAAGGAGAGAGCTCAGGCTCTGCTCGCCAGGCCCCCAGCCTGGCACGGTGCCCCCCTGCCTCCCTTCATCCCCGCCCCCTCCCTCCCTCCCTCCCTCCCTCCAGCCTGTCAACTTCAGGACCTGGCGGAGTTTTCCGGAGCCAGGTGGAGGTTCTACCGCCTGCGGCTGGACAGACCTGAGGGGGGCGCACAGAGTCCTGGGGTAAGGGGGAGTCTGCAGCCGGGGCCACCCCCCCCCCGTCAAACCCATCCTGAGCCCAGAAAGGGGGGCTCTCGAGAACAGCTGCCCGGCAAAGCCCGCAGTGTCCCCGAACTCACGGCGGATGGAGCTGCGGAAAGTTCCCTCCTCTTCATCCGGCTCCCCGGTTCTGGGAAGGGACAAACAGAGGAATAAGGATGGACCCGGAGAGGCAGCGGCTTCCAAGAAGCCCCCAGGGCAGGCTCCTCCCCGCCCCCAGCCCCACCGTGGACTTGGAGATGGACGAGGTCTATCTGAAACCAGGAGCGCCCCGCTGCTGTTTCGGGGTGCTCCCAGCCGGTTGTGGGGAAGGATGTTGGGAAAGGGACTTGGCATTGTTGGGGAGAGGGATGGTCCCAGGGTTTTGGAAGATGGTCAGTGAGTGCCCCTAAGTCACCTTACCTACCCCCCCCCCCCGTGCCTCAGTTTCCTCATATGCAAAACGGGGCCGATGATGGTGCCCACCTCATCCGGGTGGGGTAGGGGGTACGAAATAGGGAAGGGAACCGCGCCTGGCGCGTGGTGCGCGCTAGAGGGCCGGTGAGGAGGCTTCCGTGGCACCCTCGGCGCGCAGAAGGCATGCCCACGTTGCCTGCGCCTTGGAAGGTTTATTTCGAGAGGGATCCTGCGCGAGGCTCAGGACTGGAGCTAAACTGGGCCGTCCTGTGAGGTGATCTCATTTCAGCGCGGCTGCTCCTGCCCAGCTTCGCCTCACCACGCTTGAGTTTCCATCTGCGGGGCTGGTGGGAGCCCAGCGCCCCCACTGGCCGGGCGCCGGGCCAGGCAGAGAAGGCGCTTGACCATCGCTCCGGCCCGGCCCGGGAGCCTGGCTTGGGGTTTGGCACACACTAAGCGCTTAGTGCGCGTTGGACTGCAGGATGGGTGCGCTCGCCGCCTCTCCCCCAAGCGCCACTCCACTGCGGGAGGAGCGAGGGAGGCCCGGAGGGACCACTCACCTCTGCTGTTGGTTGAATTTGCACCGACACCTCTTGCCTGTGGAGTGGGAGGGTACGGGCTTAGCCTCCCCAGCGCTCCCGCAGCCCTGGGCTCTGCTCCAAACTGGAGAGGCCGCAGGGGGTGGGGCCTGGGGGGTGGAGCAAGGGTAGGGTGTGGGGCGTGGTTAGACTGGGGGTGTGGTCTGGGTTGGTGGGAGTTGGGGGCGTGGTTAAGGCGGGGTGTGGTCTATGTGGGGCGAGGCTGAAGTCAGGTGGAGTTGTGATTGGAGGCTGAGCCTGTGCTGGGCGTGGGCAGGGCAGGCGGTGTGTGTTGTTGGGGATGGAGTTAAGAAGGGAAGGCTGGAGGTGGGGCCGGGGAGGCAGGTAGGCGCAGACACTCACTAAGGATGATAAGGATGCCCAGGATGAAGAGGATCCCAGCAATAGTGAGGCCGCCGATCCGCAGGGTGTGGTAATCTGTGGGCAGCCCCCCCAAGGAAGGTGACCAGTGGGGAAGAGTATGCAGGACAAAGAGGAGGAGAGGAGAAGGGCAAAGAGAAGATGTGTGAGGAGAAGAGAGCGCAGGGCAGAGGGAGGAGGTGGTGGGAAGAGGGAAAGGATGAAGAGGAGGGTGCCGCTGATGCTGAGAAACCAGTCCAAATAAGACAGGGCTTCAAATAGACAGGCAAGGGAGCCTAAGAGGACCAGAGCAGGAGACAGAGAGAGAGAGAGAATATGCCCACACCCTCTCTCCAAATCTCATAGTAGTTCCCCTCACCATAGGTGAATGGGTCAGGTTCCTTCGGAGCTTCTAGAAAGAAAAAAAATCAACATTTGAGTATCTCTTGAGGTCTGTGACAGGAAGAAGTGTGAGGGGACCCTAAGAAGGCTCTGCCTGCCTTCTTGAGCTGTGAGTTTGGGTGGTCCTGGGCCACAGACAGGATGCTGGCCTACTCGTGTCCCGGAAGCCTCCTGCCCTGTCCCAGCACCCTTGGTATCTTACAGGTCGGTTACCTTTCTATTACCCCGGGACCTGGCTTCCATCCTCTCCCACTTCTGCCTAACTCAGGCAGCTTCCTCTCTCCCCCAGATGCCAGCCACTACCAGAGCCTGTGTGGTGACCCCTGGTTTCCTGTTAGGTGGGTTCCTTTAGCTTGGGGTCTCCCTCTTGGTTTTGGGAGGGTCTTTCTCCTACCTCTGGTGTCTAGAGGGCTGAGATTGCGGGCACCTCCTTTGGACTCACCTGCACTGGCCATGGTGACGAGACAGACGCAGAAAGCCAGGATGTGACTGGGCGATGCCATTGCCCTAAGGAGTAAGCCAGGGTCAAGAAATGTCCTTTCCCCTGCTCTCCTCCCCTCCTAAAAAGAGCCTGGACCCAGGGGGTTAAGTCAAGGACAGCCTAAGTCAAGGACAACCTTAATTAAAAAGTGTCAGGCATTCCCTTAGTTGCCTGAGAAACAGGTCCCCAACCAACTCCACGATGGGGATCAGGAAACTACACAGCATACACAACAGCAAGGCAGAAGTAGAGAGACACAGATTCCTGGAGGGGGGGCTCCCCGGGGCCACCCTCTACCATAAGCTGGTCCCAGAGTTCCGAAACCTACCCTTGAAACGGAAGCAAGCTGCCTTTGGACACAGGTGGAAATGCTATGAGCTACCCAGCCTGGCATGACATGCCCAGCCCCACCTGCCCTCACACACCTCAACCAGTGGTCTCCCTGTGCCCAGACAGTCCCGGCTCTCCTGCGCTCGGCTGCCTGCCCGCTCTCTGCCTGACGCTGGGTATAAATATCTCCTGTTTCACCCGGGAGGAATTTGCTGCACACAGGCCACCATGGCAACAGCTCCCCCCGCCCCCCAACGACCCAGGGGTCCTGTACAACACTGCCGGGGTGAGGCCAGGAGCCACATCCCCCCATGGGCCACCCCATCTCCTTTCCTGGAAGCTGTGGGAAAAGGGGGAAACATTGCTCCCTTTGCCCAACTCTGGGTGACATCTTTCACAACAAGAGGCGCGTGCCTGAGAGACAGAGACGTCAGACAGTGTTTCCGGGACACACATACAGGCGCAGGGACACACTATGCGCAGGTACACACACAGAGAACAGGCGTGGCTGGAATGGGGACAAACAACGCTCTCTCCCCAAACTGCTGGTTGGAAGACATAAGCGCACATCCCTCTTCCGGGCCTTCTGTGCCCCCAAAGCATGATAGAAACAGACTTATACAAATGAGTATCCAAGCCTCACCCCCTGCCAGGGGTCTCACACAACAGCGGCTGAAAAAGGGAGGAGTCACTAACTCTCACGCCCCCGTGCAACCCCTGTCCCCACACTCTCTCCTCCCTCTTGGGTCAGGCCTGCCTGAGAAGCCACAGGCTGACCACTCTTGTTCCCAAAATAGGCCTCCTGGCTGGAAGAGCAGAGAGGCTTGGAGGACGCTCACCCCATCCACGCTGTCCCTGTTGGCAGAAGACCCCCAAATGTCCAGCTGGGCACCTGGGAACTAAGCACTTTGGACCCCCTGGCCCAGGCCTGGATGTGCCACCCCCGCAGGCTCCCCTCCAGGCCACACCCCACTCATGCCCTCCCCAACTAGCAAATGAAACTGGAGCTCAGGCTGGAGGGGGGCCAGGGGGGCGGCCCCCAGCCCAGACCGCCCTGGCCTGGCTAGTTAACTCTCTCAGCACAGCCCCAGGGGCAACATGTGGCCGAGTTTGGGCTGAACTATCACACACACACACACACACACACACACACACACACACACACACACACGGATACAAGCCCGCTTCTAGACCAGGGTCAGAGAATGTTTTCTGCTAGCCTTCCTGGGAATAAGCCCAGCTGGGGCCTAAGGTCACGTGTCCTAAGTGCTTGCAAGGCCACTGACCTCTGACCCAGTGTTCTGCCAGCCTTTGATAACTAGTTTTTTTTTTTTATTTCAAATGTGTGGTGCTTTTATTTTGCATGCATGTTGTGAATTGTTCTCCCTCCCTTACTCTCTCTCTCTCTCTCACACACACACACACATACACACACACACTAGGGTATCTGTGCAGAGAAACACTCAGGATATAACAGCTCAGGAAGCAGAGGCAGAAGGATGGAGAGTTCAAGGTCAGCCTGGCCTGCAGAGTGAGTTTGAGGCTAGCCTGAGCTACACAGAGAAATATATACTCCTTTTCACGTCTGCCCTTATACTCATATACACAGTTACATACTAGCACACACAGCCCAAAGACACACTCGCACCCAGAACCCATTCCCAACACCACAAGGAGAGCCGTGAGCTTGCACGCACAGCCGGGCCTGTAGGAACGTGGGCACACCCGCACACTGACTGTGGAGGCTCCCCTTCCACACACACACTGTGAGTGCACCCTGTGCATGGGCCGGCGGGCACAGCTGTCCACACACTCACAGACATAGGGCCGCATGCCCCAAAGCCACAGACGTGCATTTCATCTTGAACTTTCCGTTCCTGAACCCGTGTAGCCCTGATGACGCCATGGGAAAACACTTTGGACGTTCAAACAGGCCGGGCAGCTTTACAGGCCCCAGAGACAGGGGAACCCGGGGCCAGGCACCGGCTCAAGATCCCTTGTTGCGTGACGTTGGCCAGCTCACTGTCCCTTGGCTGTCCTACAAAATGGAGAAGCCACAAATACAATATCAGTAACTTCTGCCCAGGTTCTGAGGTCCATGAGCTTGACATTTTCTGGTCTCCATTTTAGAGATTGGCAAGCTGAGGTCTACATGGGAGGAACTGATTTTTCCCTAAGTCTCCCTGCTGGTCGACGGCAGAAATGTCCCCAGCTTCAAGCAAACAGCAGCCCGGGCACTATGCCCTACGGACTGGAGCCCAGCCCTGTCATTGACAGAAGCCTAGCCTCATGGATCCCTGTGCCCCCCCCCAGGCCTTCCTCTGCCCCTGGTGTCCCAGCACCCCTGGTTAAAGATAACCCTGGTGTTTACACATCTCCGGAGCGGGAGGGGGCAATTAGTTAGGCCGCTCCAGGCCAGGTCAGCCTCCAGTGCTTGCACAGTGACTCTGAAATGCTCACTGCCCCCAGGGCACCACAGCTGTGTGACCCTTGTCTCTCCGTGGCTTGATTGTTCCTTCTGTAAAATGGAAAGAATGGCATTGTCCCCCGAAGACCGAGGTGGTGGGATTATTTAGAACAAGCCATGCAAAGCAGTGGGAAGGCAGGCCGGGGCACAGTAAAAGTCTATTTACACGAACTTTCTTCGCTTTACCTTTCTCCAGGTAAACAGGAGGCGGAACCTGCTGGGATGGTGCAGGCCTTTCGCTGTCCCCTGGTCTTCCCTAGCACAAATCTCTCTGACTGTTCTCTCTTGTTTGTTTTGAGTCGGGCAGCCCCAGGCTGGCCTCAAACTCACTCTGTCTCGCTTAGCCTAGTCTCTGACTTTTGATCCTTCTGCCTCCATCTTCTGAGTGCTGGGATTATAGATGCCGTCGCTCGCTCTGAACGGTTAAGGGCATCGCCCTGTGCAGGGCTGCGGCTCAGTCAGCACAGTGCTTGCTTAGCGTGTGTGGAGTCAGTCCTGGGCTCCACTCCTCCTCGGCACCGCACAGCCTGAGTGGCAATACATGCTTGCTCCCAGAGATGGAGGCAGGAGGGTCCGGAGATCAAGGCCATCCTCGGCTTTATAGAAAGCTCAAGGCCGGCCTGAGCTATGTGAGAGCCTGACCGAACCCCAAAGGGAGGGGGAGCAGTTTCATTAGCTCCCTGGGCCCTCTCTTCAGTCTAGGGATGGATAGTCTGAGTGATCCCATTGACAAATGAGGAAACTGAGGACCAGAGAGGTTGAGTAACTTGACTGAGGCAACACAGGACTGAGCAGGACCCCAGATCTGTTTGGCTCCCGACAGCACCTCAGTGACAAGAGGCTCCCTGTTCCTCAGCCTTCCGGCCCTCTGACAACAAAGCAGTTGCTCCTACTAAGCCAGAACCAGCCTGGCCCTGTGAAGCCAATCATTTAAGAGTCCCATGCCTCAGTTTCCCCATTTTTGAAGTAGGGATTGTAAAGCAGGAACAGAAATATTCCCATCTCGCGGGGTTGCTATGACGTCAAGGAGCTAACACGTGTAAAGCCTGGCACCAATCAAGAGTGGTGGCACCTGTCATCCCAGCGTTGAGAGGCTAAGCCAAGAGAATCCTGAGTTTGGGAGCAACCTGGGCTACAAAATGAGTCCCAGGGCCGGTCTTAGAAAACAAGCAGGGAAGCAAACATACAAGGCCAGCGTGTAGCTTGAGGGGCATGGGAGGGACAGAGAGAATCTGAGTTTCTAAAAGTGTAGTCAGGATGAAAACACCCAGCCGTCCACATATCCTCCAATTCTGACTGCAAGAAGAGGATGGAGAGTAACATGGAGAATAACATGAAGGGCCTCTGGAGCCGGCTTCCTGGGTTTAGATCCCGGTTCTGCCTCCACTGGGGCCACACTAAGCCACCACCCCCCACCCCCGACTTTTTTCCGCTATAAATTTGGTCATGAGGATGATACTGGCCCGAGGGTCATGGGAAGCCTGGGATGCCGGTGGTGAAGTTTCAGGGTCCAGCTCGGTGGGTCTGATGTGGAAGAGGGACTTCACCGTGAGTGGCTGTATCCCCCCGTCCTGGATCTCGGCTTTCAGAGAGTTAATTAGGGCGACGGGGAGGAGGGTTGGCTTTGGGGCAGGGCAGCCGTCCTGCCGACGGTGACCACCAGGGGGAGCAGCTGGCCTGGTTCTGGCCTCGTGGTGCCTCGGTGACAGGGTGGACCACACCCTCTAAGAGAAGGGGCCGGCCGGGAACAGCTAGGCTATCCCCCATCCCCCAGCGGCTTCTCCTCCCGCCCCTCCCATCTGCAGTCTGCAGAGCCATCTGGTTTCCACCCTGGGGACATCCTTCCCACTCTCCCAACTGGGGTTGAGTGGCGACTCTGATGATGGGGGTTGGTTGGGAGTGCCTGGGGTAGCTCAAACCCTTGGCAGCCCCGCCCCCCTCAAAGGCCACTCAGTCCCTTCCCTGGGCCTTTTCTTACGATGGCCCCTGACCTCCTCCTTCCTACCCTTCTGCTGGGCGCATCCCAGGCCACAAGTGGGACAAGAGTGTGGGAGGGCACACAGAAAGTACTGGAGACTTGAACCGGGCAGGGAGGTGAGAGTTGCAGACACCAGGCAGAAGGACCAGGACAGACCACACACACACACACACACACACACACACACACACACACACACACAC